GTGAAGGGGTAAAGATTGAGGGTTTTTTACTATTTGCTTGATATGCTTCTATAATATTTTAATTGCTTTTACTGTAAGTCTGAATCAAATTGTATACTAGAGGTGCACACCTATATAGAGTTTCCAAGACAAGCGAAATGTATTAGGCCCCCAAAATGAATATTTATATTTCACATTCTGCTGTTTCTAAGTTTATTATGTCTAGGATTTTGTGTTGTAATGGATGGAGGCCCCGAGTGTTATTAACACTCTCCAGTGCACCAGACAGCACCTGCCCCCCCCCCCTCACACACACACTTAACTCACAGCAAAGAATGAACTGGTGCAACGTGCCAATCCTACTGAGGTTGAGAAAACGTCACCTCAAGTTTCAGGGCCATGCCTTGCAGCGATGAGCCTGATCCCGAGGGACCGAGAGAAGCCCCCTGCTAGTTAGGAGTGGAGCCCAGGAAGCACCCAACCCAGCAGCTGGGACGATCCCACTTTCCAGCTGCTGTTTGTTACCGCTTGCTTTGGGCCACGTCGATCGCAGGTGGATTATGACGCTTAAGGTCCACAGCTGGCCACACACAGTCATGGAGGAGAGTGGGGACCACAGCGAGTGCAGAAAAGCACCTGCCATTCATTACTTGCTGTTCATTAGTCTGCTTCCCAGTGGACTGCTCCTCATCAGTTCTACACAGTGACCGAGGAAGCCTGAAAGGGTCAGTTTGATATCACACACACACACACACACACACACCCCGCAAACCCAATGCCATCGAGTCTCTATGACTCATAAGGACCCTACATAGAGTTTCCAAGGCTGCAAAACAATCCTTTTAAATACCAGGTCTTCTTATTGGTTTCAAGATCTAAGACCATGCACAAAATCGAAGACACCTTCAGATGCTTCTTTTGAAAGAAAGTTCTTGTCTTTTTTAAGTTCTTGTCTTTTAAAACTGGGTTAAAAACGAAATTCAGAAGCTGATTGGGAAACATACAAAGGCAACCTTGTTTCAAGTGCAACAATGTACTTGGTGTCCTTTGTCTAGCAATGGGTGTCTAGCAGTACTGGACCTTAATGCTCATTGACCTTGTACTTGGAATGCTGAGTAGATAGGAGTCACCCGGGCAGAGGCCTGATCTGTATCTTGCTGTGAAAAACTTCAAAGGTCAGGGTACAAAGAACACACACGGAAGTAAAGGGGAAATACACTGTGGATTAAGCCTCCACTGGTGAATCCCTTGACTGTAGACCAGGGAGGTGAGCGAGTGCATGGGGAAGGGGATGTGGGCACTGTGGTTAGGCTACAATGCACCACCGCACCACCGGCTCTCCTTTCAGACCCATTTTTAATTTGTTCTGGCTTTTAATGTTTTCTTTTTGGTTGAGGTTTTCCCCCACTGCTTTGCTTTGTCATTGCTGCTGGTGTGTGTGTGTGTGTGTGTGTGTGTGTGTGTTTCTGTCCGTGAAATACAGGGTAGGGGAATCTAGAGAGGAAAATCATGGGATCCTCGACTGATCAGGGGTACCGCAGGAGAAGTTGAAGGGAAACGGGGAACAAGGAAGCGAACACTCTGAAACGGATGGTGGTGATGATGGTACAACTCTTCGGGACAGGCTGGTATGTTAAATTCTCTGGTATTTGGATAATGTCAATGAAACAGTTACAGACTTTTCAAACGCGGTAACTGCCTGTGAACATGGAGTCTGGAAGAGACCGGCTGGAAGGGGTACAATTCACAAAACCCAGGTGATCGGGACTTTGAGGACTTCACGGAATTACGTGAACACAGCTTTTAAACGGTTCTTCCTTCTAGTGAATGTAGACTATTCAAAAAACAAGAACAAGAACTGGCCCAACAAGCCCCGAGGAATATCCCTGCTCAGAGCAGCCAATGCACAGAGAGGACTATAGGGCAGCCCCACCAGGAGACACGACGTCTCTCACTGACCCACAGTGTTCTGGGGGACAACACTGGAGGCGCAGTGTGGGAATTGTGCCCTATCTGACTCCACCACACCGGGTGAAACATTAAGGGCGTGCAACAGAACAGCAAGGGGAGCAGATCAACGAAGTCCCCAGGGGAATTCCAAAAGTAGACTGTAGGGCCAGGGTGTGGCACCCCATCAGACTCCACTGGAAGACACTCCTGGAGGTAAATAAACAGACCTGGAACTATTTATAGGTGGTTTTTTTTTGTTGTTGTTATTGTTTGTTTGTTTTTGTTTTGTTTTGCTCTGCCTTGTTTTGTACTTATTATTGTCTCTGCGTGTTTAGTTAAGATAGGATAAACAATCCAGAGAAGAAAACAATGGGACCAAAGTTTGGGGAGGGCAGTGGGGGG